GGCAACGAACAATCTGTTTTCTGTATCTATGAGTCTGGGTTTTGTTTTGTTTGCGTTGTTTTATTGGATTCAACATGTAAGTGAAACCAATGCAATATCTGTCTTTCTCTGTCTGACTTATTTTACTAAACATAATACCATCAGGATCCATCTATGTCGTTGTCAGTGACGATGATTTCATTCTTTTTATGGCTGAGTAATATTCCATTGTATACATATGTACACTGCATCTTCTTTATTCATTCACCCATTGATGGACACTTAGGTTGTTTCCATATTTTTGCTATTGTAAATAATGCTACAACAAACATAGGGGTAAATATCTTTTCAAATTGGTGTTTTTGTTTTCTTCAGATAGAGACCCAGTAGTGCAATTGGTGGATTATATGATAGCTCTATTTTTATTTTTTTAAGTTTATTTATTTTTGAGAGAGAGAGACAGAGAGAGAGAACAGAGGAGGGGCAGAGAGAGGGAGAGAGAACGAATCCCAAGTAGGTTCTGTGCTGGCAGCACAGAGATTTGAACCCACGAACTGCAAGATCATGACCTGAGCCAAAATCAACAATCAGTCATGCAACTGACTGAGCCACCCAGACACCCCAAGATGGCTCCATTTTTTTTATTCTTTGAGGGAGCTTTATATTGTTTTGTATAGTGGCTGCACCAGTTTATGTTTCCACCAGCAGCGAATGAGGAGTTTCCTTTCTTCACATCCTGCCAATACTTTTTGTTTCTTGATTTTTTTAATAAAGTTGTTCTGACAGCTGTGTGATAGTATCTTCTTGTGATGAATTTCCCTGATTATGAGTGATGTTGAGCATCTTTCCATTATTTGTTATCCATCTGTATGTTTTCTTTGTGAAAACATCTATTCAGATCTGCTGCCCATCTTTTAATTGAATTTTTGTCCTTGTTATTGAGTTATACAAATTGTTTTTATACTTTGGATATTAATCCCTTACCACATATGTAATTTACAAATATCTTCTCCCATTTAGTAGGTTGCTTTTTCATTTTGTTGATCATTTCCTTCTCTGTGCAAAAACATTTTTAGTTTGATGTGGTGTCATTTACTTATTTTGCTTCTGTTTCCCTTGCCTTTGTAGTCAGATCCAAAAAGAGAAAAAATTGCTAAGAACACTGTCAAGGCACCTATATTTTCTTCTAGAAATTTTATGTTTTCTGGTCTAGCATTCAAGTTTTTACTCCACTTTGAGTTAATTTTTGCATAGTGTAAGAAAGTGGTCCAGTTTCAATCTTTTGTAGGTAGCTCTTCAGTTTTCACAACACCATTTATTAAAGAGATCATTCTTTCCTCATTGCATATTCTTGTCTCTTTTGTTGTAAATTAACTGACCACATATGTGTGGGTTTATTTCTGGGTTATTTTGTTCTATTGATCTATATGTCTGTTGTTATGGCAATACCATACTGCTTTAATTACTATAGCTTTGTAGTATAGTTTGAAATCAGGGAGAATGATACCTCTGGTTTTGTTCTTTCTCCAGATTGTTTTGGCTGTCTGGGGTTTTTCAAATTTTAGAATTATTTGTTCTAGTTGTGTGAGAAATGTCATTGGAATTTTAATGGAATTTGCACTGAATCTATAAATTGTTTTTTGTAGTATGGGCATTTTAACAATATTAAATCTTCCAATCCACGTGCATGGAATATCTTTCCATTTGTGTCATTTTCAATTTTTTTCATCAATGACTTATAGTTTATACTGTATGAGCAGTATGTTGATCTCTCTCTCTGTCTTTTCACCCCATTAGTCCATTTACATTTAAAGTAATTATTGACATGTATGTATTTATTGCTATTCTGTTCATTATTTTCTGGATGTTTTTGTAGTTACTCTGTGTTCTTTTCTTCTTTTTCTCAGTTTCCTTGTTGTTTGATAATTTTCTTTAGTGTTATGTTCAGATTCCTTTGTTCTTCTCTTTTGTGTTTTTACTGTAAGTTTTTACTTTGTTGTTACCATGACATTCACATTATTACCTTAAGTATGTGACAGTCAATTTTGTTGATAGCAGCTTAAATTTGAACACATTCCCAAACTCTACATTTTTACTGGTTGCTCCTCAACATTTTATATTTTTGTTGTCACTTTTAATATATTTTTATTTTATATATTTCTGAACTAATTTATTGTAGTTTTAGTTAATTTTACTACTTTTGACTTTTAATCTTAGTAGCTTTATAAGTGATTAATCTCTTACCTTTATTATATATTTACCTTTTCCAGTGACATTTTTACTGTCATATGCTTTCTTATTCTTAAGTAGTGCTATGTCTTTTCAGCTTAAAGAAATCCCTTTAACACTTCCTGCAAGGTCAATTTAGTGGAGATAAAGTACTTTAGCTTTTGCTTATCTGAAAAACTCTTGATCTCTTCTTCAAACCTGAATGATAACCTTGCTGGGTAGCATATACTTGGTTGAAAATTTTTTTGTTTGTTTGTTTCTTTTTTTTTTTTTTTTTTTGAGTTCTTTGAATATGTCATGCCCTCCCTTCTAAGCTTGCAAAATTTTTGCTGAGAAATATTCTTATAGCTTTGTGGAGTTACCCTTGTAAATAACAATCTGGTTTTCTTTTGCTGCTTGTAAGATTCTCTTTTTATCTTTAACTCTGGACATTTTAATTATAATGTGTCTTGGTGTGGTTCTCTTTGGATTCATTTTATTTGGAAATTTTGGGATACTGGGATCTGTTGCCCTCCTTAGGTTAGGCAAGTTTTCGGCTATTGTTTCTTTACTTAAGTTTTCTGCCCCTCTTCTTTCTCTCCCCTCCTTCTGGGACCCCTATATTGTGAATATTCTGCTTCAGGTTGTCTAAGAGATCCCTTAATTATCCCCATTATAAAATTATTTTATTTTATTTTTGCTGCTCCATCCAGGTAACTTCCATTGCTTTCTCTTCCAGCTCTTTGACCCATTCTTTTACTTTATCCAGTCTGCTGTTAAACATATTTTTCAGTTCAGTTCAATATTCTTTATCTCTGTGAGTTTTGTTTAGTACTTTATTGTTTCCTCTCATCATTGAAGTACTGTGTTCATCCTTTCTTCTCCAGAATTCAGTGAGCATCTTTATGACTATTACCTTAAATTCTCTATCAGGTGAATTACTTCTCTCTGTGTTATTAAGGTCTTTTTCTGAGGTTTTTTTCTTGTTCTTTTGTTTGGAACTCATTTCTCTGTTTTCTTTTTTTTGCTTGATTCTCTGTTTGTATCTATGTATTAAGTCAAACAGCTACTTCTCTCAGTCTTGAAGGAGTGCCTTGATGTAGGTGATTGTCTTTCTCATTAAACCTTGCCCTAGCTTGTGGTTGTCTCTAGACAGCTGCTTTTAAAATATGCAAGTATGTACAGTCCTTTGGGGCCACAATTATAATCTCTGCTGACCTCCAGACCAGGAGATCTGGAGGTGTGTCCTGGGCAACAGTTGCAAAAAATCAGGGCCCCAGACAACCGTATAACTAGTTTTTGGGAATTCTTATCAAGATGTAGTGAGGCCACAAAGGTGGGCAAGAATGGTCTCCATGCTTATTTTCCCTGGGAGTGCCTCCTTAGCCTTGCTTGATAGGTGGGAAACCTGAAGCTTATCCCTCAAGCTGAAGCTCCAGGCTAAGCAAATTGGACTCTTTTCACAGGAAGATCTGGGTTGTGTTTCAGCCCTCTGTGTTTCAGTGCCCTAGGGATGGTGACATGGCAGGAATAGCCATTACTTTACATTGATGGCTGCCATTACTGGATTTTGTTCTTAACGCAATCAAACCACCCAATTTCATATTAAAATAAGTAGCTTTGTTGAGCTCACTAGAGATTTGCTGATGCATCTTCTTCACCTCAGTTTCATTCTGTTTGTCCTGGTTACTGCAACCTGAGAATTCAAAGCAACATTTTGAAATTGCAAAAATATTTTAACTACAGAGTTGTACAAAAACTTGTATAAACTGATTTCAAGGAATTGCAGGTAGCTGGCCTCTTACAAATGACAACTGAATATGTTTGAAAAGAGTCTAAAGCAAATAAAAAAAAACTTTTAATGGAACTATCTTATGAATGCAGTCATGCCTACTTTCATTTTCCCATAGACCAGTAGTTTTCAAATGAATTCTTATTTGCAGAATTTTGCAATAAAATCTTACAAAAGACTGCAATATATAAACCAATGGAAATCAAACTATTTTGAACAGTGACTAAGGGAGGAGGGGCGCACAGATTAGCTGCCACTCCCCATCATGATGGGGCTCCTAAGAATGCTTGGTTGAACTACAGGACTCAGTTTCTCCAAAGGGACAGTCTGTTTGCTGGATCCATCATCATGGGTCACACAATTCTCTGAAGTTGTACTAAATTAATTGCACAGACACAGTATGGTCCTGAATTTAAATATGCTGTTGAGAGTCATTAGCTACGGAACTAAGAAGCTGTTGGTGACAAGGCTAGAAGGAAGTAGCCTGCTGAAGCAGAGAGCAGACAAGGAGAAAGGGTCCTGGTGGCCTTTGGTTCATTTGCTACCATATTCCCAAAATCCAGCTGTTTCCTTCCTTCTTCTCCATGAGCTGATTGTTCCAACTTTCCTTCAAATTCTTTTTTGCTGAAAGCTAGCTTAAACTGCATTTTCTTTACTTGCCACCAATAGTCCTGATTTATTACAAATACCATGACCATGGTTGTTGTATGTATGTATGTATGTATGTATGTATGTATTTATTTATTTATTTTTTTAATTCCAGCAACATTTGTAGAGGCTGCTCCAGGGGAAATAATGCAAAAAAATGAACATGACAGTCTTCCAGTAGAAACATGATTTAGTGAGAGAACGTGGAATGTACAATAATAATTTCAATGCAAAAACCATGACTGATTATGCTTCTATATGATCAATGATTCTACAAATCATTCTGAGGAAAATGTCACTGAACCAGGTGAGCTTTCTATCTGATATCTACTAAAATACTTTATTTTTTTATTTCTTTAATTTCATGGATAAGAGAGAAAGCCTGATAAATCACTCAGTGAAGGAAAAATCAGCTGCTTGGAGAACTGGAGAACTTGAGGATTATTCAGAGGATGTATCTTACTTGGAGGAACTGGAGAAACACAGATTTTCAGTTTGGTGAGTAGCTTACCCTGTCTTTCTTTTTTCAAATTGAAATTCATTGAATTAAACATGTCTCTATTCATCCCATTCTTTTATTATTCATTTATTCAACAAATATTGATTGCAGGCCTATTACAGGCTATATGATATATGCCCTGACTTGGGAAAGCTCATAGTCCAATAAAATATATGGATGCTTAAAAACATCAATGTTATGTGATAGTGCTGTTAAAAAAAAAAGCACAAAGTGCCACATACACACATGGAGAAGCTGATGGCTAAGTTTGCTTGATAATAGAGAAGCGTTCTTAGAAAAAGTTTGAGCCAAATCTTGCGGAGAGGAATATGTGGAGAAATGGTGACAGTTAGTTGTGGGTTGCATCAGTAGACAGAATTGAGAGGGTGGCCAGGAAGGACACATGCTTTAACCTTAGTTTACTTAAGATTCAAGCAGACAGTTATTGCCCTCTTTACCTCGTGGTGCATATACAGGTATATCTGTCTATGCAAGCATATATAGAATACATATTTTAAAAAGTACGTATAAGAAAGAGCAATGGAACTTCTTAGTGGTAATGATGATAGACCTTTGCATTGGCAGGATTCATCAAGGGTGGGGGAATGAACAGCAGTAAGTGACAGCATGATACATAGAGTAACCTAGGAAACAAGAAGAGACAGAGTTCAAAGTCATCCATTCCAAACTACTGCTTCCTTGCCCACCTCAAGATCCATGCCCTGAATGGTTTTCCCAATGGGCAATTATCTACCATATGACTGAGTTCCCAACAAGTGTTCCCTTACTCTCCCATCCTGGAACCACCATCAGGAAAACATAGTATCAGCTCAGATTTCACTTATCCAGTCACATTTTTCATAAGTTCCACTGGTTTTAGTTGAATTTAAAAGTTGGGGTACCTGGCTTGGCTCAGTAAAAGGAACATGTGACTCTTGATCTCAAGGTTGTGAGTTTGAGCCTCACGTTGGGTGTAGAGATTACTTAAATGGATTTAGAAAACAAAAAGTTTAAATACTTTCACCAGTGCTTTCCTGAAGCAGCTGAAGTGTGGTCTCCAGGCTTGTGAGTATTCTCTGAATCAAGAGATGCAAGGCTCTGCTTTAGAAACAGGAACAGGAACCAAGGAGTCCAGAGGATGGGAAATATGAATACTTCTTCTAGAAAGAAAAATAATATATAAGAAACAGTGTAAGTCTAGGCTAGGGACTTGCCAGTACAGCTCCAAGGCCAAATTCTGTTCTCCATCTGTTTTTTGTTAGAAACAAAAACAAACAAACAAACAAAAGTCTACCTGGAACCAAGAAACATCAGTTTGGTTACATATGGTCTTTGACTCTTTTTCTCTACAATGGCAGAACTGAGTAGTTGAGGCAAAATCACTGTGACCCATAAAGTCTAGAGTATTTACTATCTAGCTCTTTACCAAAAGTTTTTTCACCCTTGCTCTACACTGGTGTAAATTATTTCTCTGTTGTTCTCTCATGACACTTACACTATTTTAAAGATATTTTTATGTTTATATTTTCACCAGGCTGGGGGTCTTTGGTGTTTTGGTTTTCTATTGCTGCATGATGAATCTCTGAAGGTTTAGTGCCTTGCATTAACAGCCATTTTACTTGTTTGCACTTCTTCAGGTTGAGAATTCAGTCAGGGTCACATTATAGAAGGCTTCAGTTGCGCCATGTCTAAGGCTTCAGCTGAGGCAGCTCAGACAGCTGGGGTCTGGTTTGAATACTTCAGTTGGGACCATGTGTCTGGGATCGTGGTTCCTGCTCTCACCTGAGGTCCTCACTTTTCCACACTGGCCTCTCTCCACTGATGCTTGGGCTTCTTCTCAGCATGGTGCCTGGGGTTCAAGTGGCATCTTTCCAAGCAGAGAAGGTGGAAACTGTAGATTATCTCAAGGCCAAGCCGTCAAAGTTACACAGTGACTCCCACCATATCCTATTGGTTGAAGCAAGTCACAGGGCCAGGCAGAGGGAGAATAGATTCCACTTCTTGATGTGAGAGCAGAAAGGCGACATTGTTGGGATGGCAGACAGTGTGTGGCCATCTTTGGAAGCATAACCTACCGCATTTTGCTTCATTTATTTCTGTGTGGACAGCTCCTAGTGTCGGGCTCAACAAATATTTGTTGAACAAAACAAACGAATTAAAGAAATGAAAGAGTGTAGCCTTTATGGATAAACCTGAGTATGAATTCCAGTTTTTCCCCTGCTTGTAGCCTTAAACAATTTACTTCACCCCTCAGAGACTATTTTATCCTGTATGAAACCAGAATAATAATACCTATACTATAGGAGGCTATGGTTATAGTGAAAGTTGAAAGAAAACATATAAAAATCTAAAATGTATTTTTCATAAAGGCAACTAATATTACTAATATTAGTAATAGTGAAATTTGAGGAAAATGTCTTTTTGAGAGGTTAACATAGAGGCCAAGATCACACAGATGATGTCTCATTTCTCACATCCGTCTTCCTTTCTGTTCTTCAATACCAAGCTCATTATCACATCATGGACTTCACACTTGATGCTTCCTTTGTCTGGAATGTTCTCTCAGCTCTTAGTAGTATGGTCAGCTGTAGATGCTGCAGGCCCCAGCATCTAGTTTACCTCTCTGGTGAGGCCTTTCCTTAGTGCCCCACGTAAAGAGGTACCCACCCCTCTTCTGATTATTTACTTTCTCATAACCTTGTTTTCCTCTTTTTTTCTTAAGTGTATTTATTTATTTTGAGAAAGAGAGAGAGAGAAAGAGAGGGAGAGAGAGAGAGAGAGACAATCTCAAGCAGGCTCCACACTGTCAGCACAGAGACCAATGTGGCTCGAACCCACAAACTTTGAGATCATGACCTGACCGGAAACCATGAGTCAGAGTCTTAGCCTACTGAGCCCCTCAGGTGTCCTCTTTGTTTTCCTCTTTAAGGTACTTATCACAGTTTAAATTAATATTTTCTAGTTATTTCATTTATTTACTTCTTTTTTTTCCCACTAAACAGAAGCTGTAGGTAGGAAGGAACCCTTCTTATCTGGTCACTCCTGGGTTTTCAGGCCCTGGTTCTTGAATACCTGGTTTATAACAGACAATCAGTAAATATTTACTGAATGGTGAATAAAAGGTGAATAAAAAGCTTCTCTCTATCTCCCAACTCCTTTGGTTGGCATATCTACTTATTTACTTTCAATCTCTCCCTTCTTTTGAAATTGCTACCATTAAAAAAAAAAGTAATATGGGATAATTAACCACTATAAACATTTCTTTGTAAACCAGGATTGAGGATATGGGGGCTGCCGAGACCTCTATAAACTTGTGTTTTAAATGGTCTGAGATACAATCTGAACAATTTCCTTGATGTTTTATTAGAGCTGGTAAATCATTTATTGGGGCAGCCTTTACCTAAATCCTCTCCAAATCCCCATAAAATGCACTTAACACAGAGTACTGTACTACCCAGACTCAAAGATACATATGACATTGTGTAAGAGGTATTTGCTTCAGTGCAGCAAGATTAAATGTATGCATTTTCTTTCTCTATTTCTTATATGGCCTATCTTGCTCCCTTCCACCCTTCTTCTGTGCCTTATTTGAACATGCTGATTTGGGGAAACTTGGTAGATTGTTAGGGCTTCAGTAATTCACAGCTTCCAATTAAAAAAAATTTTTAAAAATATTTATTTATTTAAAAAAAATTTTTTTAACGTTTATTTATTTTTGAGACAGAGAGAGACAGAGCATGAATGGGGGAGGGACAGAGAGAGAGGGAGACACAGAATCGGAAGCAGGCTCCAGGCTCTGAGCCATCAGCCCAGAGCCCGACGCAGGGCTCGAGCTCACGGACCGCGAGATTGTGACCTGAGCTGAAGTCGGACACTTAACCGACTGAGCCACCCAGGCGCCCCTATTTATTTATTTTTGAAAGAGAGAGAGAGAGAGATAGAGTACGCGTGGGGGAGAGGCAGAAAGACAAGATGACACAGAATCTGAAGCAGGCTCCACACTGTCAGCACAGAGCCCAACTTGGGGCTGAAACCCACGAACCATGAGATCATGACCTGAGCCAAAGTCCGATGCTTAACCAGCTGAGCCACCCAGGCTCCCCACTGCCAATTTTTCAAAAATGCAAGTTTATCTTATTTGTAGATGTGTATAATTTTTTCAAGTTTATTTATTTCAAGGGGGGGTGGGACAGTGAGGAGGGAGAGAGAGAGAATCCCAAGCAGGCTCCGCATTGTCAGTGCAGAGCCTGACGCAAAGCTCAATCCCACCAACTGTAAGATCATGACCTGAGTAGAAATCAAGAGTCAGATGCTTAGCCTACTGAGCCACCCACACACTTCTATAATATTTTTTTTTTTTTTAGAAAGCTTCCAAACATGAGACTGTAGCATTTTCTCAACCAGAAAGATACCGAACTGAGTTGTCTCTGAGTGTGTAAAATCAGGAGTGTTATTTCAGCACGCTGCAACCCCAGTGGGCCTGTTGTCGGCAGGGTCAGGTGATCATAGGTGAGAGTCATCTGGGCTGCTCCTGGCGGAGTTTGTGTCTCCGCCATCTTTCCTGGGCTACAAGGTCTATCCTGGAAAGAAATTTACATTTTTGAGATATAGGCTGGGTGTGATGGGATGACTGTTTTTGGTCATATTTTAGATATCACTCCGTACTTCAGTTGTACATGATTTATTTTCATTGTCACTCATTGGGGTGCACAGTGGTTGGCTCTGTTATATGCTCCCCTAACACCATGCACATCTTCTTTGTGCCACTGAGCACATGGTGAGTAGGTGTTCTATAGTCTTTCTCTCCCATTAGACTAGAAGTATTACAAATTTCACAGGGGTAGTCGTGGTAAGTCTGTCATGTTAAGTCTGTTGTATTCTTTCTGGTCTAGCCACATGATTGATAAACTGCAAGCACTTAATAAATATCTGTTGAATTATTACATGAAAAATAAGAGTGACATCATAAATTGACATTTCCAGAAGGAAGTTCTGGCTG